TCGGAATAATGCCTTTGAACACCATGATGGGGCACACTCCGAATAAAACGACCAAATGAGACGAAAATGTCGACGCGAGATGCACGTTTTATAAGGATAAGCAGTGCCCTCCCTATTGGTTCAGACTTAGTGTGAGCTAATGTTTCGTTTCTTAAGTATTAGCATAAAAGGGAATCACAGCGCATCCAAGTCAGGAGATACACCTCAAAATCAGTCTGCATTGGAAAGTGTTTGGCCGTAGCTATCCTACATCTCTTATATAAACAAGATACCCGTAATTTGCTTTCCGGACTCGTTTCGGTCTCACCTTATTTTTATGACAACCTCCACCATTGATTTGGGATAGCAGGCAAAAACTTGGCATGTACGGTGCAGCTATCGTTAATGCTGGCCTTGATTTCTGCGTGTTTTTATGATTGCACAAATGCGATGACAGCGTCGATCGGCGGACAGGTATTGCAGCAACCGGCGGCTCATGCCAATATGCATTGTGCATAGCAAATAAGAGCTCAATGCAAAATTGTCAATCAATTAGCCAAAACGGGGCATAGCCGAGCCCGCCGACAGCTTAACCGCCGCCTCTTCGGGGCAAGTGTTGTACATAATTGCTGGAATTAGCCACCTCACGATCCTCCATTGGGGTTATGTTGTTGTCAAACGTGCAATTTATGGACCAGCGAATGCAGCCGAAGAATTGCACCATAGGTCGATCAGTCACTTTGATATTATGACATCTCGCGGCTTATTGACCTAAAATTAAAATAATCAATTAGCAATTTCTCGAAAAGGTTAATAATACACACATCAGAAATTCTGGCTTCAAATAGTGCATTTTAAGACATTCAAAATTGTATGCACCCATTTACTAAGAACTACGGCCATTTAGTTTCGGCAGTGTACTTTTTCAATTAGCTCACAATTAATCAATTGCATTGTCAATCATGGGAAAAACTAAAAAAACGAAATAGATCGATTTGTAGCAGCCACAAGAATCCCAGCCCCTCAAATTGGTCAATAAAAGCGAACTCCGCGTTGTCCTAAGCCGAGCCATATGGTATCCATACATCAGCGTTATCGAATCCATTTTTGGCGTTTACTGTGCTGACAAATTTGTAGCCAGATGCCTATCCTCCCAGCCGGGCCATAACTCCATGCCGTGAGGTAACTAATGACCATACTTGGCCTCAAAGGTTTAGCCCCGTATTATATTGCCGGATTGGGGTTGGGGTTGGAGTTGGAGTTGGGTGCGTTTGGCGGCTGTCTTGAGCTGGAGCACACACTTCCTCGAGGCTCATTAGTTAAGCAAACACTCGGCAATCAATGCGAAAGGCTGGGGGGAACACAGATCTAACCATAAATAATGTCGCATTCTGCAGCGTTGTCCATTGTAATCGATTTGAGAATCGCATAAGAAGTGTCAAGCAACAGAGGCAATAGTACAAAAAAAACTTGAACTGAATGTAATTAATCAACAATAAATCTATTATTTGAACGGGTAATTCAATTAACCCAACAAACAGTCGTCATACATATTAATGGGTATTTGCGATTCATAGACCAAACATCTGAGCAAAGTGCAAGGCAATCAGCAAACAATAAAGTAAGTAATTTCTTTGAATATTCGATCACCTTTTTTGTCAAACAAAACCTCAAGCACCTGCAGCAATTTAACACTTGACATTGTTTTATTAACAAGAGAAGTGGCGGCGAGGGGCCTTTTTTTATGTAATTATTGTTATTACATTCGAGTTATACACACTCGATTTCGATTTGAGTTCAAGTGCGAACTGTTTGTTTGCCTCAAATTGAAATTGATTTGGCTGAGTCTGTGTCCAATTTGCCATGCGACTAAATAAAGCGATTTTAATTGATCATCGATACGAGGTTGCGTCGATGATAAGGCGAAGCAGGTTTTATGACATTTGTTTTGAGTCCCGAATCGGTTAATCTCGATCTGGTCGGTTCTAACTGATATCAGCCGCGATATCGTGTACCAATTTGCCAAACACAACAATGCACAGCACTTTCTGGCGAGGATTCCCACACTCATCCGAACCCAAACTCGTTTTTCAGCTCACTCCTTGCCTGCTGCTAGTCGCCACAGTCGCCAGTCTCAGCCTCCAGGCGCAGGCCATCCGGGTGGACTGGGGCACCAACACAGGACCGATAGCACCACCTCCGCCGCGCACCACTCCGCAGCCGCCAAGGAAGCCATACCGGGATCCAGCGCCCGTCTGGGAGGACCAGAGCGATGACGTACCCAACCCCAATCCCTATGTGTAAGTGCAAACGGGTTTCGCAGAGATCAATAACCAGTAAAACTAGCTGCAAGGGTCAATCTGCCATTTGTATAAATTGTTTATATAAATAAATTGAATTCCTGGTATTTTCGGATTTTCGCCTTCGGCCAGATGTAGAGAAAATGAATTGGCATCGGTGGTATTATATTACACTTGAATATTTATAAGACCATCATACAATGTAATCTTGCATTATTAATAGATTTGTGAAATACATAACAAGCTATAATATTGTTGCTTTTGACATTGAATGAAACAAAATAATTATATAAAACGGTTATTGCTAAAATGATAATAATATCGTCAACAAATTCGGTACTGATATTATATCTAAAATCAAACGTTCGTTCTTTAACCGCAGCTACGTATTGCCACCGCCTTCGAGACCAAGGACCTGGGCGATTCCCGCCGGACCCTATGCCCCGCCCAACTACAACAACCTGCCGCCCAAGGGCAACAACTACGGCCAGCTGGCCAGCAACGCCTACAGCGGAGGAGTGACCTCCGTGCCGGGACTGGCCGCCCAGTATGTGCCCGGAGTGGGCATCAAGTATACGGCGATCGTGCCCGACAAGCTGCAGGGCAAATACAACGCGAAGACCAAGAAGTACAAGGCCTACGAGAAGGCCAAATACGCGTACCCCTGGAACTATGTAAGGCAATACGACAGTCGCAAGCGATATCTGCGCTATTGAGCCGCCGATACCTGATATGCATTTAGAACTACCTATATATAATTTGTACAAGAGATTAAAGCCAGACACCTCAGACACGAACCCCGCTTTTGACACTGTAGATTGCAATGCCTTTCAGCCCGATCAAGTCAAACACCCCCGCATCGCAAACATGCCGCTCACTATCCCTTTCACAATCATCTTGCCCCATCCACATCCACATCCACATTCATGTCCATGTCATAATCGCATGCATCATCTCGTTGCAGTTGCAGCAGTTGCCGGTGGAGGAGAACGCCTTGGAATGGCAGGCGGAGCTCGAGAAGCGGCTCGACGAGGAGCAGGCTCAGTCGCGGTCCCAGGCTCTCAGTTCCTCCACTACAAGCACCACTTCCAGCACCTCAACAGCCACCAGCACTAGCACCACCAACACCACACCGGCACCACTTCCATCCGCAGACAGCACCACAATTGCCGCATCGACGACAACATCTACAAGCACGCAGCAGCCCACAACAATTGCCAATTACAAGCTGGCACACGAGAAGAGCGCCCAGCTGAAGAAACATAGCAAGCAGAAGAAGCTCCTCCAACTGCACATGGAGCAGGAGAAGAAGGCGCTGAAGAAGCTGCAGCAGGAGCAAAACTCGTTGCAGACCAGTTGAGCGGGTGCGATGGACGGGCAGCTGCTGAAAAACAAGCAAACATTTAAGCGAACATTACCTTTAAGACTTGCCCACAATGTTGTAAATAACTATTAATAAAATTAAACATCCCATAATAAAACGTAATCGAAATTAAGGAGCTTGGAACTTCAGATGGGCGGCTATGTTGGACATAGGAATTGAAATTAACCATTTTACGAAAAAACTAAAAGCTTAGGCAACGAAACTGTGAAGACTAATAAAAGTAATTACTGGCGGGAAAAAACGGAACATAAAAGTAAATTAGGCCACGAGATCGAAATTAAATATTGGGTAACTAGCTTGAGATGGACAATCCGAAGACTAATTGGAATTAATGAATTAGCAAACATCTCTAAACATTCCTTTTAAGCTTATATAAAAATTAGTTTATTCATAAATTAAAAGACTTAGGCGACGAACTTGACACTAATAAAACTATTTGGTAACTCAAACATCGGTAAATAAAACTCTAAGTGAGAGTTAGTTAAACAAACTTAATTATGCAACACCACAAACGAATGACATAGGCGACGAACTTGACAGATGCATAAGAGATAACTTGGGGAAATGTAGCTGCGCAAGATGAGAGGTGAAAATTTAAGGGGAGACGTTTGAAAGGGAAATCCCGCTTACCCGAGGAGGATGGCGCCTAAATGGCCTTTTAATTGCTCCCAGGGGTCAGCAAAAGGGCAAGCCGAACAAGGTGAGCTGTCAAACGGATTAACGGACCCACCACTGATTGGCGCTTTCTTGAACGACTTTTTGTAGCCGCAGGCACTCAAAACTGGGCTCAAAAAGCAGTGCCAACAAAACATACGGCAATTAGCCGTTGCAATTAGCGGTGTCGTGGAACAGCAGCGGCTTCTGGGCCATCATTTAAGCTGATCAGTGATCACAGAGCGGCGTCTTAAGACCCTGACCACGGGACGTCAGCGGCAGCAATGGAAACAATATAATTAGCTCGCAATGCTAACAAAAATACAATCATTCTTCTGCTGCAGCCAAAAATTTGTGATTTATGCCTGGCTCCCTGTATAGGTGTCGTTAACCCAGTTTCGGTTGTCGACGGGTTTAGTCAACCAAATACGAGTATAGAGACGGTTAATTTATTATAATTAAGCATGAATTTCATATTTGACTGCTTGAAAAGTGAGCTAACATCGGTAGTAGCTGATACGCTAAGTGTTTAATTTAATACCGTTTTTTTCGTTGGTTCAAACAATTACTTAAGCTAAAAGACCCAAGATTGGGTTGTAGATAATGGAGATGCTAAGGGTAGCCATAAATTTCTTTGAACAAAAGCAGCTCAAAGATAGCAACCAGAATTCGTTTGCCTCTAGTTGTTTGCTTGTCGCCGAAAACAAAAAGGAAATAATTTTATTCATTCATTCCGCTTGGCTTGAAATATAACCCCAAAATATTTACATTTTAACTTTAATAAAATTGTTCGCTTACATTTTATGGCCCACTCCCGAAATCAATTTAAATTTCATATAAGAAATTCACTTAACAAGTCAGCGCAGTCATTGAAAGACAATTAAACATTTTGCAATTTACGGCTGCGTAAGACAAGACAAATAATCCGCTTGCCACTTGTTACTTTACGGGCCGGTTTCACGCCGCTGAACACCTTAAATCACAAATGCCACAGGCTCGGCAATTGTCAGAGCCCGGATCGGTTGCCTGCTCCGGAATTCCAGCGCCTGGTGCACCCGACTGTTCCCGGTGCGCTGCTCAATCACGGCCTTGAATCCCCGGTTGGCTCCCCGCACCTCGTAGTGCACACTGCGAACATGTCCACTGGGCTCCAGGTGGGCATACGACCCGGAGACGTAGTCCCCATGACGCTGCTCTCGGTGCAGGATGTGCACCTGACTGGCCACGTCGGAGATGTGGTACTGATGCGAGTAGTGGAGCTGGAAGCAGGACAGTAAAATTAATATTCGCCCATTTGTGTCTCTTAAAAGTTGTAATGTAGAAAATAATGTTTGCGATGCTAATTAGGATATTGAACAGGTCTAATAAATAATAATAAATAAATAAAGCGGTTGTATGTGCAAATAACACAAGTAAACTGAAAAGGTGCAACTAAGTGGTAGATGGCTAAGAATCTTATTTTAAGTTTAGCCAATAAATAAAAACAGGTAGAAAAATAGTATCTGGTATTTAAATTACTATATTAATTTATCATCATAAAGATTTTATTAAGCGCAATTCGCGTCGTTGTGAAACAGATGCCAGACTCACCCTTTCCTCGTCATGATTTTTGCCGTAATCGCTGTAAAACTCGATATGCTCAGCCGGACCACGCTGCGTATGCGCAATCTGCAGCAGCCAGAGGATCACGAAGCCGAATCCCCATCCATATGCCATGCTGACCGGACACGTGGGCATGAGCTGCTGCCGAAATTAATTTGATTAGAAACATAACGAAGTGGCCGAGAAGAGTGGGCGCCCAGTGCTGACCGGAGATTGGCCCCGGAGGAGTGGTCGGGGTGAAAATCATTTTCACTTTGCTGTTACGGCAGCAGTTGAAAGCTCGGAGCAGCCACTTCCTAGCGGCTGGAGCGATGCTGATTACATAGTCACGTTGCTAACTACATCTTCACGGTGCACAGCAGCCAGAAACGCTGGTGTGGATTGGCCGGTGGACTGGTGGTGCATGCCACAAGTTGGGCAATCAAAGCGAATCAAAGACCAGCATCTTTCACACTTCGTTAGGGGCCAGAGACTTAGTCAAGGCAATTTAGTGTCAAAAAGCGAGCAGTCGATAAAGACAAAAGCCCCGAACCCACGGCAATATGCACATTATGGATCTCGGCGATCTCCGACAGTTGGCTAACATGCCCTAACGTGACTGGCCGCCCGATTGGATTGCTCTGACCCAGAGCAGGCACCTGGACCCTTTTTGTGCCCCAACACCCCGATCCATGGGCTTGGCTATGTCTTCGAGGAGATTGCCGTTTATGAGCCGCGAGTGGCAACTTTCTTTCTCTTGCATCATGATGGTTAGCTATTTTTACTTTTCGGCTGTTTGAGGCACGTTTCGTTGGCAATGCAAAGATTTGAACAGCAGGTGACGCCATCGCCATCGCCTCTGCCCAGTTTTGTTCCTGGTCTTCCCACTCGGATGCTCAGTTCATACAAACCAATGCCCTTTTGATTGGTTACAGCTGTAATTGCCCCGAGGTCTTTGTGAAAGGCTGCCAAGCCAAAGCCGCCAATCACCGGCAAAAAATTGTATCCAAAAGTACCAAGAAGAATGTCTTCAGTAAAAGTACAAAATTGATTGAGAACGAAATTTGAAAACATAAAACAGCAGTCATGAATAATGCCTATTATTCAATGCAAGTCTTGTAATGTAGGTCTTTTTTAAGATTTACACTGTATCACTTTACTAAATATTGAGTATAAATATCAGCCCCTTTTGTAATGATTAGCCTTCTTTAATATTTCTTTAAATCTTTTCTGTGCAGTCTCCGATTCTCCGCTGGTAATAAAGAAATTGTCTAATTAGGCCGCTGCTCCAACTTTTGATTGGCCATGGGCTGCAGTACGCATACGCCCCGTTGGATTGCGCAATCGCAGCTAACTAGATTGATCCGGCTGGATGGTGGGATGCTGGATTCCTCTGGGCCACGAATCTTGGCGCCCAAACTGGATCCGTTCAAACTGTCGTTAATTGCGGGGTCGGCTGGGTGGCTGACTTCCATAATTCACAGAATCGAACCGATAATCTACGGTGAGTTAGGGCACGTTTTGCAGGCCCATCTCCGCCTTGGAAATGCCAAATGCACTGGAGAAAATTCCAGATGACTGGTCGAAGGAAATAAACAGGCTGGACCAGGACAACTTGTTTCTTTTGACTTGCTAATTGCAATGTAATAAAATGAAAACGAAATGGCGAAAGAGAAATATCGGACGACAAAGCATTTTCGTTTCCATTTCTTTAATGGAACAGCCTCCTTAACACACGCGCTCCATTAGGCCAAGCAAACATGCGGCGAATGTTTATTCATATCTGGACCGACTGGGGTTCGGGACGGGCCCGGTCCAATTCCAGATCGAGCGACACATCCACGGGTCCAGATCCAGATGGGGATCCAGATCCAGACACACAGCCACACAGCCACAGACACAGATACAGATACAGATACAGATAGCCGCACTCGGTCAGTCAGTTGGTTTGTCAGTCGGTCGGAAGCCAAGCCGTGCCAAGTTGATGCGAAAAAATAAAAACACTTACGTTTTCTATTGATTTGTGGCCAGATTTCTTGTTTTCCTTGCTTTGTTTACATAATGAACTGCCACCGAGTGGACCCCTGGACCCTTGGACCCCATTGAGCTCCCCTCTCCTGACCATTTCCAGCTCCAGCATCAGTTATGCGGGTGCCAGTCGCACATAACATTGCTCAACGCTATCCGCCGACACTCGAGATCGGAGGCTATATCTGTGTCCCCACTCGTCGTGCCCAGATATATAACCTTAGTCAATGCTGTTTGTTGCTATCTTTATAGCAATCATAGCCAATGTCGTCGCCAATGCTGCGCTGAGCTGCCGTTGGGTTTCAAATCGTGGAACTTATTGCGAACATCGTTTAATTGCCATGGGGGAAAGATGAAATGGCAGCCTCGTTGGCTGGGGAAATGTACAAAGGGGCGTGAATTATGGGAGAAAGCAGTTGAAAACTCCAATAAAAAATCGTCAAGTGCTGGCTAATTTAGAAAGGGGTTCAAGCGGAAGGTCTATAGAAAAAATCATCCATTTCGTTGAGGTAACACTAGTGGACCAGTAACTTAATACGAATCATTTGCGAGGAAAAGTAATGCGATCTAAAAACTTTAACTAGCCAGACATTTCGCTTTACTATCATAATTTCCGCAACAAATTAAGCCAAGTCGAATGAAAGATTTTTATAAAAAACCGGAAAGTCAGATACATAAATATTATAAGAAGATATACATACTAAATGTACTAAATGTAAATATAAGCAATTTAGAACACTTGCTGCAAGTTCAACTTTAATCATTAGCTTAACATCATGGTGATAGGTGCACATAGTTGAACAAACTTTTATGATCTGGTCGGGTTTGTCGTGTTTCCGTTTAGGGGACCCATCAACATTCTACGACAGTTACGGTCATAATCTGCCTTTTCATCTTCCGCAATCTGAGCCGCCATCCCGGGCTGTTGGCCACATTCAGCGACCTGGTTCACTCACTTCCCCTTCTACGAAACGAGGAGCGGAATCGAGATCGAGAGCGGGGGTATTGCATAATGTCATGGGTACAGAAGAAGACCACTTTCAAGGCCGCTGTCGTGAGCACACTTGGCTGGGCCTTTCTTCCCGTTCCCCCACTGATTCGGACTGGGATAGCCATACCATAGCCATAGCCATTCCCATTCCCATTCCCAAGCCGCAAAAACACAGGCCTTTTATGGCCTTTCCTGGCCGAGAGTCGTGTTGCTGCACTTCCCAATTAAAATGCATGGCTAGGACAGCTAAAAAGCGGGCCGAAAAGCACTCAGATGCGATACGAATCGCAGAAATGTTGCGAGTAACTGAGCAACAAAACTGAAACCCGTTTTAAATGCACCGAATTTACATAATGTGCTCCAAATGGGCAGCAGGCGAATATAAATCCCGAATCAAAAATAAAAAAACCGAAAAACCGAAAAACAGTGCCGCAAGCAATGGCAATGACAATTGCATGTGACAATTGCGGAAAACGAACAAAGTTGCCAAAAAATCTGGATGCAAAGTTAAGTTCATGGAGATCCGCAATTGTGCATATGAAAGTCTCTGTTTCCTCGGCCATTCGAAGGGGAAATACTCCTACCGATCGAACTGAAAACTGAACCGAACGTGAAAAGCGAATCTGAATAGCGATATTGATGGCAGGCAATTTATGTTATTGAACCTTGCCTTATGCAAATTGAAAAACTATGAGTAATTGTTACCGATTTCTGGGCTTGTTTTAATAAGATTTTTCATCATTTTGCTGAATGTTTGAGAAATGAAAGTCCCGAAATTAAGGAGGTCCCCCCGAAAATAATCAAACGACTTCCTTCCACAGAGGGCCACTTACTTTTGCTGCTTTTGGTTGCAAGTTGCTGGTGGCAAGTGGCCAGTTGCCAGTTGCTAGTTGCTAGTTTGTAGTTGCTATGTGTAGGCCGTAATATCAATGGCAAACACTTGAAAACTGAACCACTTTGCTGGGCTGCCTCACTGGCTCTGAAGTGTTTGCAGTGGAGAGCTCTTGGGTTTATTTACGACAGCCGGCAGATGAGATGTGTCTGGGATTTTAGATTGTCAACGCGGTGACTCGAATTCTTCGGCTCACGAACATCGTGGTGCCCCATAATTATATGCCACTCCGTGTGTGCACAACTAAATCTGTGTCTATATCCATAAGTCTGGGGGCCCGACTATTAGATCATTCTCTTTTGCAATTCTTCCGCTGCCGCGCTCTGTGTGATTTAATTAATTTTTGCGAGCAGTTCCCTGAATCCAATTCAATAACGATTCACCTAGCAGACAAAAGGGCATGATGCCGCACTTTGAGCACCCGGCTTCGAGCACACAAAACGGGCTTGCAACCGCAAATTAGTTTCAAACATCGCACAAAACACAAAAACAGGCTGCAAACTGCATCAGCGATCGGCAGCCTTGCAAAATCCGAAAATCCACAGCAATAATAACCATAGCCCCGCCATATCCCCGTTTATATATCCCAGACTCAGACTGAAAAATCGACAAACGATGTGCGCCTTCATTCTGTATTATTACTTGGCGGCTGCTTATTTTTCGGTTTTGCCAGCTGAACGAAGATTTTTCAGTGCTGATAGTAAAAGTGACGCATCAAATGGAGCTGCCTGAGCAGGCTTGTAAGTAATGGGTATTAGGGGTATACATGGCTCAGAATGATATCATGAACTAACATAGAAATGCAGAAAATTATTATGTCAGATGTATGCGTGATGAGATGGGCCATGATGATAACTACAAGACTTGCTTTTGATGCGAGCTATAAAATCGAATCTTTGTAAGCTGCACCTATTTATATGTATATATTCTTTACAAATATGTTTCACCATAGAGCATAGCCAGGTATACCCTGTAAACCAAATGTTCTGATTTGCTGCTCCATCAGTCAATGACACAAACACTGGCACACACATGCTTATAACTCATTTTGCAATATTTTTCGAAAAACACACTAAAAACGTGTCCCAGAGACAACAATCACTTTGAAAGGGTCGTGTGGTTTTGCATCTTTACGGCCAACTTGGTCGCATCTGGGCATCAATAGAATCCCCAGCGAAAAACAAGTAGTTTGCTATTACATCTTACTTGGTTGTTGTTTTGTAATGCCTGACTGCTGAATTTGGC